CGTCTCCACACTAACGTATGTTGTTTTCGTCCTACCGGAATCTTTCCCAGAGGAAAGTAGGAGCGCCCTGTCCCGCACGCTTCTGAATCCCTCTGATAATGGGCATCCCGTAACCACTCGCTTCATATCCTTGCATATTTTCGAGCCGTTGAAGATGCTCATACCTACTCGGCGATCGGATGGGACTCGCAATTGGCGACTCGCTTGGTGTGCAGCACACATCTTCGTGTTCATGGTCGTAAATTGCTACGTTTCCACTGCCTGGTTGGTACTTGTTACTTCAAAATACAACCTCACCCCTGCGGATGTAAGTAGTGTCATGCTGTCTGAATGCAAGCTGATCTTGTTCGCTTTAGACCGGTATTTTCTTCACCACTGTTGCTGTCAGCGGCACGATTGCCTTGACGGTGATCCTCCCGCCTCTCGTCCGGCTTTTGCGTCCATACTACCCCAGAAAAATCGCAAGTTCCCTTCTCGCGGAAGAAGACACAATCAATGGTGAAGAACCAGAATCGGAGACCTCGGATCGTTTGGATGTACATTTGGTTTTTGTGTCGTGTGTCTTTATGGCAGTCTTCTATTTGACTGCAGCCGCATCCGATACAAGCCAGGCATTGATCCTTTGTAAGAGTTTGGTAACGACCTTTTCCTTTGTCCCCTCACATGTGCAGTACAGCCGGTATTTGTATTGGATTTGGCTCCATACATACCCCTACGATTCGTAGCCTGGTCGCTGGATCGGTTCATCCTCTAAAGCAAGGTCAGATTTAGATACCGCTCATGCGGGATTGTAACTTACGTGAGGCCGATTCATAGGGGAGGCATTGGCAGCTTTCGAGATGGCCTCTAATTCTGGCGATGTTCTCTCCCCAATCGTCATGGGTAGCATTCTCACTGCAACGATTGGAACGATGCCTCTGTTATCGTTTTATGTCCACCTGGTGGGAATGCCGAACATTCATATTTGCTTGTCTCTTCGCTGATCCACGGTGCACGTCTAGGTCGTTATTTTGATCAGCGGTGCGCTACTATTCTTAATCAGAGACACGGATAGGTATCAGAAACCGCGTGAGGGCGGCGTGGCAACCCATGTAGTAAACTAGTAAGCGGCACTCGTCAATGTACCATCCGCCACTCATAGCATTAGATGCATAAATGTACAGCGCATTATGATCTACAGGGATAGACGTCCATAGACTTTCTTTGGCTTGACAGAGATCATGTAGGCCATACATTGCATAAAACCTGCTTGTGTTTACCATGACTTGCGAACGCAGTCTTGCAAAAAGACCGAGGACATACCCTTCATCTCCAACGACTGCGGAATAGGGTTCTTGTGGGACTCGTCGATGAATTTGTATAACGTTTCATTCATCAGTTCTGCTCTACAATGTACATTGGCCAATGTTTGAGCAGTGGTCACTTCTTCAATGGAAATTTGAGAGTAAACTTTGACTGACTTCACCTTTCCTCTAATCCAAAGGTGTCATGTGACCTCTGACACCTTTGGATCGAGGAATTTCAGGCATGTTCATTTTAGTATTGTTTAATCTCTGGATCCCATAACGTTTCTGTGAAGAGACAGAGACTAGATGTCTTAGCTTTTCATGGTCAATTCGATCGTGCGTTCTCCTTGGCTGAGACAGAACTCACCGCTAAGCTAGCGTGAGGACCAGTGTCGTTCTGGACTGATCAATTAAGAGCACCAAAGTCAGTCCTTCCGAACATTGATAGTAGCCTAGGCCCTGGATGTGGACATTGAGTACTTGTCCTCGTGACATCCTCATGGCGTGATGGATTTGAAATATCTCCGAGACTTGCGGGAAATGCTGGTCGGAGTCGGGATTCGGAACAGCGAAGTGGCTATTGACAACGATCCACTTACACAACATGTAAATTTCTTCATATTTCTCACTCTCCCTGCTGAAGGGCATTCCGATCCCACCATCTAGCACGATTTCCGACTGTGGTCCGTAGGGAACAGAAAGTAGACATTGGTCCACGTGTTGGCATGCACCAAGGCGGCCGATGCATTCCACATTGCGCAGTGCTGCGCACCGCCTTATTTAGACCACACGGTCACCGTATTGCCGGTATGGTTTGTAGTCCGGTGATGTGATTGATAATGCCGACACCCTACTAGTAATAACTCGTTTCTATAGGCGGGTAGACTTCTTTCTGCACCATGACCGTGCCGTCCTTGGACCAAGCGCCGTCAGAAACCACTGGCCTACTCAGAGACCTTCGACCAACTGATCGCTCAGGTAGGAGTCCATCGGGGGAACGATTCAGAATTTCACCAGAGACACTTCTTGCTCCGATCGCGCTTGCAACAAGGCTGGCGAGCCAGGCACCAGCGACTACCCTCGTCGAACTAATACGACGACTTACCTGCAAGCTTTGGAACCTGTCTCACGTTGATCCAGTCACTCTCCAAGCAGGTGGCCCAGACTCAGCCGAACAGTGCGATGCGCCCGAGATCGCGCGCTATTTTGCGACGGTGATTGCCATAGTCGGCGTGATTGAAGGCATCATATGTGTGGTTGTATTCCTGCCAATTGCTACGATCGCTCACAACTTGATATTTCAGTGATTGTTGGGTGTGGCATATTAAGTCGCATATCATCACGTTACGGAAGGAAACCGGCTTTCTTGCTCGTACTTGTCGCTGGAACCATTGGATGTTGCATGATATCTGGGTCACAGTATGTGGCGGACTGGATTTCTGACTGGGTCTTCATTGTCGGGATGATATTCTTGCTATCCTCTGGTGGTTCCACCTATGCTTATCTTGTCAACGTGTATATCGTCGATGTATGTGTCCCGGAGGATAGGTGTGTCTCAAGCTCGGGCCTCTTGATGGATCTAACTTCACCTTCAAGAACTGCCGCGTTGAGTAAGATATCGGGGTGGACATTACTGGGTCTGGATCTGACTTACAGACCTCACGCATTTTCTCACATCATATCTTACAGGCAATTGTATATCATTCGCTCTGGGAGGATTTATTACAACGAAAACAGGGAACCCTCTGATCGTGTTCTACATGACAGCCACAATATACGTCTCCACACTAACGTATGTTGTTTTTGTCCTACCGGAATCTTTCCCAGAGGAAAGTAGGAGTGCCTTGTCCCGCACGCTTCCGAAACCCCCTGATAATGGGCACCCCGTAACCACTCGCTTCATATCCTTGCATATTTTCGAGCCGTTGAAGATGCTCATACCTACTCGGAGATTGGATGGGACTCGCAATTGGCGACTCGCTTGGTGTGCAGCACATATCTTCGTGTTCACGGCCGTAAATGCCTACGTTCTCACCGCCTGGTTGGTACTTGTTACTTCAAAATACAACCTCACCCCTGCGGATGTAAGTATTGTCATGCTGTCTGAATGCAAGCTGATCTTGTTCCCTCTAGACCGGTATTTTCCTCACCACTGTTTCTGTCAGCGGCACGATTGTCTTGACGGTGATCGTCCCGCCTCTCGTCCGGCTTTTGCGTCCGTACTACCCCAGAAAAATCGCACGTTCCCGTCTCGCGGAAGAAGACACAATCAATGGTGAAGAACCAGAATCGGAGACCTCGGATCGTTTGGATGTACATTTGGTTTTTGTGTCGTGTGTCTTTATGGCAGTCTTCTATTTGACTGCAGCCGCATCCGATACAAGCCAGGCATTGATCCTTTGTAAGAGTTTGGTAACGACCTTTTCCTTTGTCCCCTCACAGGTGCAGTACAGCCGGTATTTGTATTGGATTTGGCTCCATACATACCCCTACGATTCGTAGCCTGGTCGCTGGATCGGTTCATCCTCTAAAACAAGGTCAGATTTGGATACCGCTCATGCGGGATTGTAACTTACGTGAAGCCCACCCATTCATAGGGGAGGCATTGGCAGCTTTCGAGATGGCCTCTAATTCTGGCGCAGCTCTCTCCCCAATCGTCATGGGTAGCGTTCTCACTGCAACGATTGGAACGATGCCTCTGCTATCGTTTTATGTCCACCTGGTGGGAATGCCGAATATTCATATTTGCTTGTCTCTTCGCTGATCCACGGTGCACGTCTAGGTCGTTATGTTGATCAGCGGTGCGCTACTATTCTTAATCAGAGACATGGACAGGTATCAGAAACCGCGTGAGGGCGACGTGGCAACCCATGTAGTAAACTAGTAAGCGGCACTCGTCAATGTACCATCCACCACTCATAGCATAAGATGCATAAATGTACAGCGCATTATGATCTACACGGATAGTAGACGTCCATAGACTTTCTTTGGCTTGACCGAGATCATGTACACCGTACGTTGCGTAAAACCTGCTTGTGTTTACCATGATTTGCGAACGCGGTCTTGCAAAAAGACAGAGGACATACCCTTCATCTCCGATGATGCGGCAGTGGTCGCATCTTCAATGAAAAATTTAGAGAAAACAGAAGCAACCTTTGTAACAAAAGACTTGACCTGACTTCCTTGCATTTCCGATGGACACCCGATGATCTTGCCTCCTTTTAGTATGTCTTCTAGCGTGCAGTTCAACCGTCGCCGAACCCCACTAATAAGAATTGTGGGGATGTCGATCTGCATCACTTGCTAGATGAGATCGTAGCAGACGAGGCGTAAAGCAAGGTCAGATTCAGATACCGTCCTCGCGGAATTGTGGCTCACAAGCAATTAAGGAGAGGCATTGTTTCGAGATATCTTCTAATTCTGGCGCTTTTCTCTCGCCAATCATCATGGGTAGCATTATCACTGCGACGATTGGAACGATACCTCTGTTATCCTTTTATGTCCACCTGGTCGTCGACAACTAGGTTTGTCTCTCCCTTCTGCATCATCCTCTCGTACTGCCTTGGACTGTATTCCTTTTATGCATGTCGGTTACCTGATACTTGGTTGTGTGTACAATTTATGTCTGTGGTCGTCGAGGATGTGAGTCAGCGAAGATAGAGAGAGGTATGTGGATTCAAAAGACTATGTCATCAAGTGCATGATTGGCTATATGGGTGCGTAGCGCAGTGGTAGCGCGTATGCTTTGCAGCCCCTCGTCGAGCCAAACCGTGGCACGCTTGGACATGCTGCTCCGTCACTAATGGAGCAAAATTGTATAAGGTCCAGGGTTCAATCCCCTGCGCATCCAAAACTTTTTTCTGTGTTGCTCATCATTCCGGATGACTGACTCGGACTCTCAGTATCTCCTCCGGACTCCACCAATACATGCACATGATGCAGCCTCTACATTATTTTACTCGTGGTATTCTAACATTCTGACTGTCCATCATAGCCAATTCATGAGCTAAACGATCTCCTGTACCATTCAAGTCGCACACCAAGCCGACACGACGATTCCAAAGCCAAGAAAAAAATCCACCATTATTCCCATCCAAATGTCCTCGATTTTCGACCGCTAAGCCTATTCACTCCCCCACGTCCAGTCTAGAAAACGCAAACGTCTCCAAGTTCGCCACGAACCACGCCGCATCCTCTTCTTCCAATTCACACGTACTCCTCACATCCACTGATCGGATCGGGAACCCTGCGGCGCGCCTCCGTTGCACGAGGTAGCGGATGACTAGAAGATGGATATCGGTGGTAGCGTAAATGACAGACAGCGTCTTGAGTCGTGGTAGCCTCAGGCGGACAGCGCCGTCATCCTCCTCGACTGCGCGAGGGAGAAGAGGCAGGACGAACGCGCAGCCTGAATTTTCCCACCAAAAGTCATCCATGGATATTACGAGCGAGGTGACGTTGTCGAGTTCGTCGTAGAGGCTCTCTACATCCTCTGTCCCGTAGAAAGGACTCATGACCTCGATCGTCTCGATGCCGTGAAGCAAGCTGCGCGGTGGTTCTTCGATTGAAGACAAGGCAGAAATGGGAGGCGGCGCAGTGGCACACGCAAAGAACTCGGTATGGCTTTTCCAAAGAAAGGCTATGTACAGACTTCTGACAGCGGGCATATAGAGCATACGGAGTAATCCGCAGACGCAGACCTCTGATAGCGATGCCAGCGAGAGGCGTTTCAGTTTGACAAGTTGAATGGGAATTGAGTCCGCGATCGGCACCAAGTTAGGAGGAGCGCCGGGTGGTCCTGACCCATCCAAAACTAGGCATTCCAGCGCCGGAGCACCGCACAATATGGTTGCCAGTTCATCCCAAGACGGGCTCATATTGTCTGAGTGTCCCCAGAGTTGAAGTGTTGTGAGACGAGATGCGGCACATATCCAGCCCTGATTCCAGTCGACGAGTACTCTCCCAAGGAAGACGCTCTCGAGAGACGGGATAGAGCCACCGAAAGGGGTGAAGCTGCTTGCTGCGATGAGAGACCGAAAGGCTCTATCGTCACTGGCGGATAAGGCCAGTGATACGAGTTGGGGAGCAGCAGTGACGGTCGAATCACAGACTGCTTCAAGAAAGGCGTGCATCTGTTGGTTTGACACGGCCCCTACATCAATAGAGCGCCAACGATCCACGTGCACAACTAGCAGAGAGAATAGTAATTTAGTGTCTGCCATAGGTAAGGTCGACTCTATCTTGCGGCGAACACCGTGATCCTGAGACCCGAGGCGGATACGTATGTCTAGCGGAAGACATTTGCTGCGCGTCAAGAATGTTGCAAGATGCTGATACGAAATTGGAGAAATGGAGACGCTCGTCCACAGAGACGGAGTGGAGATTGCCAAGTTGCGCCAGTGCTGACAGACATGGGAAACGAGGATTAGGAAGGGTTGTAGGAGGTAAACATCACTGGAGGGTCGGCCGATGTGCTCTACGTCGTCAGCAAGGTTCACGTCTTCCGTTCTTTCATCTACACCCATTCTAATGCTGCCTTCGTCACCAACAGCGCCTCGGTCGTCGACGTTTCCCAATGCAATCTGGCGCGGTTCATCGCGAGCCTGGCTGACCTTGGTCTTGGGGTCTTGTACGTTTTCGTGAAAGTTCACATCAACGCCTAACTGAAATATACGCGAGATGAGCTCAGTGGGGAGGCTCCTGATGGGACGGGAACTGTGATTCGGGGGAATGAAAGGGCCACAGTGTTGGTCTTCACCGAGACTTGTATGCCGCATAACTGAATATCCGGCTATCGCATTGGTGGTGAGTGGGCTACAGAACCCGTGAATGCGAGAGATACACGAACTTGGGTTGGAGGCGATAACGGGTGTAACGCGCTGAAAGAGGAAACAAGGCAAGTTTCAGAGTCAGAGGACCCCACCTTCAGCTTTAACTGAGAAACGAAACGCACGGACATTGGATGATCAGGAGGAGAAGCAGGTCACTCGCCGATGCTTCGACCATATGCGAATCTTCGAAACCTGCGGAAGTTTATTGAAAAAATAGACTGAAAGCACGTCCAGTTGAACAAGAGGACCGTGACGAGGGCTGGTAGGATTGAAGGTTGTGACTGCGGACCTTAAGTAAACATTCACGCTAGGTCCATGAACCTCTCCGAGCCTGCACTTGCAAGGCGGCCAAGACAACACACCTGCAGATGATCCACCCCGCACACCATCGCTCTTCGACAACACACACAAGCCTTCCGCTGTCTACAATCGAAGCCGTGTGTTTTACACGTCAAGTTCACTGCCGAGCAAGAGCTGAGATCTGAGACGCCCGCCATGACTAAGTTTTTCCCAATAGGATGATAGAGGTACAGGAGGCGAGACATATTGGCAAGAAAGAGACAGAAAAAACGCCAGATTGAGATATAAGAGCACTCTCCGCGTCCATCAAGGTCGGTAGAGATACTTAGTCTGAAGCGAGTACAGTGAGTGAGCGAGAAGGGGACAAAATAGACCAAAACACTCACACAAGATGCGTACCACATCAACTAAATGCTCTCCAAGACACAATCCACCACCGCACAGCGTCCTTCGACGACGACGACGCGCACCGCCTCCTCAATCGTCTCCCGTAACAATGCCTCCGTACTCTTTTCCGTCGCAATCGCAACACTGACGCTAATCTTTCGACCCCACGCCCATCCATTCGTCGCAGCCACTGCAATCTGCGAATAATCTGGACATTCGGGTCCGAACCCGACCGTGAGCTGGTCTCCGACCGCGCCCGCACCATGACCCGTCGGGTGAATCCCGAGCATGGACAACTTGGGCGTTTTCCAGCCGCCGTTGTTGAGCACTATTGTCAAGAAGGGCTAAATGACACAACACATCGACCGTCGTCAGTGCCTGCCCGACGATGATACGTCGTGGGTACGTACTGTTTGGTACCGCCTCGCCATCCAGAACGCACTCGCTGGGACACCGAACAAAAAGGTGCCATCGCCCACAATGGCCGCGACGAGCTCATATCCTGCTTTGTCCTTGCCTTTCTTGGCGACACGCCCACCGAGGACAGAACCCAGCCCTGCACCAAGCGCCCAACCAAGGGACGATCCGCCAGAACCGAGGATCTCGCCAGCCATCTCGGGCTGCATGTGAGACCACACCTGCGGATAGCTGGATATACTCTCGTTCAGGACGAGCGTGCTTTCGCGAGGGATCCCCCTTGCATTGATCACCTTGCGAAGCGTGCTGACGATCTGCGGTGTCGCATACGGCGATGGTGCGACCTGGAAGGACTCTGTGGTATCAAGCTGTGCCTTCCACGCACGATGCATCTCTTGGATCCGCACTGTTCGTCTAGAGAACTCGTTGACGACTCGGGTGCCAACAGCTTCCTGAATCTGTGTCAGCGCGACCGCTGCGTCGGCGTGACACACCAAGTCCGCATCGTAGTGGTGCATGCCAATATTCCGTCGAAGCGGGTCACCGCTATCGATGACATATACCCGCGCTGTCTCGCTCGGTCGCTCGTATGCACCTTCCTTGTCTTTGTTCATCGGAATCCAAGCCATCTCAGCGTCAACGACGAGTACCACGTCAGCTGATTTGAGAAGCGGCGTTTGAGATCCTGCGCTCAAGTAAGAGAATCCAACGAGGAAGGGATGGGAGGTGGGCAAGTTGGTCGCTGACGCGCAGGTCACGAAAACAGGAAGCGCAAGCACGTGCGAGAGCGTGACGAGCACAGGGACTGCCCCATGGTTCCGTCCCAGATGAGACGTGATCAAAAGGGGTGACGTGGCACCAACGAGGGCATCTGCGATCTCGCGCACCGCTAAGAGGCAGGGCAGGGTCGGTACGAGATTGAGATGGCGAAGAGAGCTAAGCACTTGCCTGAGGGCGAAAGCGCAGGGGTCTGCACAGTCGGCCATTTGGCGAGCGTGATAGGCCTCTCCAGTAATGATGCGTCGATTTCCTGTTCCATCGTTTCTCTCCGTGCCCAGAGGTAGACAGGGCCCTTCGGTTCGCTCGTGGCACTAGGGTTATCGCGTGAGCAAAGCCCAAGTGCGCACCAAAGCATGGCACGTACATCTGGAGAGCCCGTCGAACCTGGTGGGGTAGACTCTCCGGAGAGCTAATTTGAGCCGTATAACGCATGTACTGGCGCACGATGGCAGGCTGATCATGCACGTCTAACGCACCCCGTATCAGTAACACCGGCGCACGAACTTGAACAAAAATACAACCTTGCATCCAATGAATCCATTCATTGCGCGATCCGCGGTGCTCACCCTCGGTCGTAAATGGAGAAGCGCCGGCATAGATCAAGACAGGTACCCGACCCTTGTCTGCATTATGAACGGCTCCTGCCAGCGCCTACGAGCCCAGACTCTCGAAATCAGATAAAGACAACACAGTAGAACCTTACCTGCGTTCCGCATTCGACATGGACGATGACGGCAGCTGGCTTGCCAGTCACCTGAGCGTACCCATGCGCAGCGCTCAACGCAACCATCTCATTCGGAGACGTCACGATCGTGAGCGTGTGGGCGCCATATGTTGCCCGTTGACGCTCGAGCTCTTCAAGCATAGCTGGGTGATCGGTACCCCAGTTGACGAACACATGGTCGATGCCGACCTGTGCAAGAGTGTGAAAGAAGAGGGAGGATGTTGTCAGTACCATGATAACGACGGTGTGATGAACTGGGAGGAACCTACGAGAGCTTTCTCATCGCCTTTGGCACATCCATTGGGTGTCACATGTCCGAACGGCCCGATAATGCCATGGCTGACAATACAGATTCGCTGGAGTACAAACGGACTTGGGTATATCCGTATTACCACGTAGATCACCAGTCTT